GAAAATAATATTGCAAAGAGTTTATCTTCGGATTCTAAGGGATTGATATTTAGAAATCAGATAAACCTAGAATTCTTGGACTTATCTTATAATGACATTGAATACTAGTATATTCCAGGGCAAATATTTAGAAATAAAATAAATCTCAAGGAATTGTTGTTGCAAGGTAATAGGATTTACAAGTGGGGAGTGAAAATAAATCATGTGATATATTTAATATTTCTAAATCTCTCGGGTAATCGTTTAGAGACTTTTACTTCTATTGACATTGAACATCTTAATCAGCATTTTCAATCTGAAAATCTAACTGTGGACTATCGTCTTTCTTGCACCTGCGAAAACGTGAATTTTCTGCGCTGGATTGTAAGATTTTATTCTCATTTTCAAGACTTCAACAGATATTTCTGCTTTAATGAGTCTATCCATGTAGAAATTTTCAGAAATCATTGATTATGTTAAATAAAAAGTGTAAATCCTACCTGATTTGGTACGTAATCAGTTGTATTTTATGTACTTTAGTGGTCACCATTACCGCTTGTTACTTGGTTTATAAAAACCGCTGGAAAATACGTTACATACGATATATGGCAGGAAAGAAAGTAAGGGGGTATCATCGTCTTCAATCGAGTTCTAGTGTTGGGAATTTCGAATATAACGCATACATATCATACTCCGCAAAAGATGTATCGTTTGTAAAAGAAGAGATGATATCCAACCTTGAAGATAAGAGTAGTGATCAAATAAAACTAGCAGTAATGCATAGAGACATGGAGCCAAGCGGAGATCATGCAAATAATATCATGGACTACATCAGTCGAAGTAAAAGAACCATTTGTGAAGTTACTAGAAATTTTCTGGAATCGGACTGGCAGGATTACGAGTTGAATATGGCCAGAATGGAAGGAGTTCAGACAAGAAAAACATTGAACTTTGTTCACTTAATTCTTATGCCAGATGTATGCCAGTCAAAATATCCCCAGAAAGCTAGTGATTTTATAAAGAATGGATATTATCTGGAATATCCCGAGGAGGCTTTTGGACAGCAAGTGTTCTGGGAAACTCTTCGACAGGAGATATTGAAAGAATTTGAGATTTCAAACTAACAGTTCCTTTTTAATCATGTACAAAAATAACCTGATCTTTTTTTTTCGGAATGTTTATACAATGTTTATATTATAACATTATATCCCCTTATTCATAACTTTAAAGTTTCAACATTGTTTTTCCGGTTTGTGTCACATCAATGTCATGTTTAATCTAATCCTCATCTGTATGCCTCGCAAATAATGTATCCAAAAGGAAGTGTAGAATAAAACATATTCATATATTTTCATTACTTAAAATTGTCTGGGTTTTTTTTGGGGGGGGGGGGGGGGATCTGTACTGCCTTGTTTACATGAACATGGGTACTCACACTTAGAAACCTTTTTTTTTAGATGCAATGACATTTTGGGTATTTTGTTAGCAAAATATTTTGCCAGAGCCAGATCTGCTCTCTTTTAAAAGTCTCATTCGGATATAACAGAATGAATTATGGAAAGTTAAGGACTTAAAAAAAGTCATGTAATTTAGGAAGTTTAAATAAGTTTGCAGATTACAAGACACACAAATTGTGTTGTAATCATTTATTTTCAGTTGAAATATTATAATCGTGAAAAAAATAACTTATAGAAGAGCACAAAAGCCATCAAATAAGATAGACTGTTACCTGAATAAGATTTATAAGTCTAGTCCTCTGCAGTCATTTCTTCGTCGAATGTCCCTTAAAGGTGCATATACATATATTTAAAGTGAATATTTTCTCAACTTTTCTCTACAATATATATTTCAAAGGCATTTCACATAAAAATATAATAAATATCTTTTTGATGTGGAGGCAACTTGGAGTAAAGTAAATTTTTATTTGTACAAATCATAACCCTCGGGGTAAGGAGGGCCCACAATAGGGAATTCATTTTCACAATGAAATATATGGCGAAAAAATTTCTCCTCAAGAATCACTTGGCCAGAAAAGTTGACACTAATCTGGATGCATTTTGGGGAAGTGTAGTTTCTAAATTGCTCAAGTCATGACTCCCGGAGGTAGAGTTGCGACCCAAATGGTATTTCAAGGAAGAATATGGAGATAACGAACAGTATTCAATCTCAACGTCCATTAAACAATATACAAAATAAGAGCAGAGCAAACACGGACCTCCGAAACATCAGAGGTGGGATCAGGTGCAATGGAGGAGTGAGCATCCCCTGCCGACCGGTCGCCATGGGAAAATCGTGCGAAATTTGGCAGAGCCAAAGTTACTCAGTTGAGTTTTGTGGCCAACAGGCCTCTTGTTTATCGTGTCTGACGTCGGTGAATGTTAAATATGAATTGAAATTCATCTTCAATTTGAAATTGAGAAGTTTGCAATTTTAATTCAATTCTATTTTTTTTATTAATTTAATTTTCTATTAAAAAGGAAATGAGTCACTGTCTATCTTGTATTGGGTATGTCAGATCATTAACGGTAGTTGAAAAAAATAAAGGGATAATAAGATCATAAACAGTTACTTCCTGAATGTTTATTCAATATTGCGTAAGATGTCCTTGCCATATAGAAGAGATTTATTTGACAATAAAAATGTCCTTAAAAGTTTATGGAAGACTAAACAACACCAAAGGCTTAAAAGCTATCACAGTGCAACATGGAAGTTATTAGAACAAGAAACAATTCAGTGCTTTAAATTTAATAAAACATAATAAGAGATCTTACGGAGCAAAAGAAATAAACGACTCGAGGAACAAAAAGATGCATATCTTCATGTATAACATTAAAATTTCAAATTTCTGCAAACAAAATATTCATTCAATATTTGTGCCTGTTTTAGCATTCACCCTCAGATGATGTCATAGGTTTTTCAAGTTTTTCAAATGAATTTCCATTTGTGCCTTTACATACACATGTTGGAAAAAGGCTTAAAAGATCTTGAAAATATGAATAAGGAAAATATTTGTTTTAAAATTTATTTTTCTTTCGCTTTGAAAAAATGTGCAAAAGACAAAAAAAAACCTGCTTGTTTCTTTTAAAAGACAAGATGTATTGTGATCACTAAATGAAGGTCGCCTAATATATAATTAAAATATCCATGTGTAACGAAGGGAAACCATAAATAAGTGTCAGATCGAAAAGTAAATTAGGAGGTGAACACTGGCTTTATGAATCTGTGAAAGTATCATTTAATTTTTTAGCGGTTAGCATATTCGCTAATCGCTTTATGGCAGGTATCAAACGATATTACGCAATTTTTATCGACACCGGAAACTTCCATAAGGCGCTACCTATCGACAACGGAAACTTCAACAAAGCGCTACCTATGATTTGTTTCTAACACATAAATAAATAAAACATGTTGAATAAAATCAAGACTATCAAACAACATAATCTTAAAAAGTTTATGCATAAAAAACATTTGGTGTCGAGATTAAATTTCCGTGATGCCAGATGATGGCGATCGGGTCCTGAGACAAAATTCGAAGTTAGCATGAATTTTAGTTGATAACATTATCAACGCGTTGGATTTAACCCTTAGGAAGAAATTATAACGAGAAATATATTTGAACCCAATGCTACACGCAAACCAGTAGGCATATCCGATTTATGTGTTAAAGTGAAGCCTGAATGGAGCAGGGGATCAACATGGCGTTGCACACCTAGTTTTTTTTTTTTAAATAGAGGGGTAGAATTTTTCGATATTGGCTAATTTAGAGACTTACTGATAAAAAATCAGGTGTGCCTGTGATTAATTATACAGCACCCCTCATGAACAATAAATATTTGACCTAATTATGCTACTGGGCACTGGGAGGACGGGTTAATAACTGGCTAAAGGGGGTACCACTAAACAGAGTACGATAGAGTACTTCAGAGTACACTAGAAAAACTGTGTAATTTTATAAAGTTTGCTCGTATATACAATTTGAATAAAAAGTATTATAAAATAATATTGCAATATTTGTCTCAAATATTTGGGGGTTTTAGCGATATTTATTTAAATTATAAAATTTTACCAGCCTACTCTAAAAGTACCCTATCGTACTAGCGCACTCTGTTTAGTAGGACCGCTTAAGGGGTTGAAGGTTCACGATTATAATATTTCAACTGCAAAACATCGGAGAATTTCTCGATCGAGTTTGATTTTCCTTGCCAAAGTATTAAGGCATCCCTTTAATTAACGAAGTAATACATGAGGAAAGCCTTTATAAAAACACTGAATACATCTGTAAGTTGTACAGTTATGGTCACAATAGGATTACTTCCATAATGAAACGTTTGTTTTCTTCTCCTTTTTTCTCTCAAATTAATTAAAAGATTATAAAAGCTTTGATCCCAGGGATAAATTCTGTACTCAGTCTTTGATAATTATTACAAACGATCATAAACGATCACATTTTTATTTTTAAAAAAATAATGCGACCCTGAAAATAGTAAAATTAGTTTTAAAAAATTGGAAAAAAAATTTAATCGGCATCTTGATCCTCTTCTAAAAATCAACCGATATAATATATGCGCAGAAGAAAGAGGCATGAAAAATCTTGGCAATTAGCAAAAATTGCAAATTATATATAATACCGCATATTTGAGTTCATCTCACAATATGCGTCGTTATCAAAGCTCTATCCTTTAATTATATGTCATCATTCACCTCCTTTTTGTGAAAAATCGAATAAATGAGATAAACCGGAATTTATTTATCCATCCATACAGTGTCAGTACGTAGTCACTAGGTTTTCGGGTTATCTCCCCTTTTCTATGCATCAATGAAAGTGAAAGGTGGGTGATGAAAGTATCCGATTTATTTTTCTGTATTATGAAATATTTTATCATAATTTCCAGTTTTTAAAGTTAAGTTTCAGTCAAAGAATTAACATGGATTATCTTATCAACATTGATATTGCTCGATGGCAAATATTTCATTGGATTGAAACAGATCGATTTGCCTCCCGTCCATACTTTAAACACTGGCACATGGTACAATATATACAAATATGGTAATAATAACCAACTTCATCAGTATATTTTGAATGAAGAAAAGCGTACTTAGTGAAATATTATTTAAACAAAATGAGCTAATCTAAAAATAGGTCTGAACTTCAACTTTATTCGGTCCATATTATTCAAGGTCATTGGTCAAACATCCGTACACATGGTAGCCTATATTTAGATACTTAGGTCCCTTGGCCTATCTTTAGGGGGTTTAGAAATGGGTATATACATAGTTATAATTCTTACAATATGAGTATGGTTTTGTAACTTTGGGTTTGTTGTATTTATCAGTTTATTCAAAATATTTTGTGACATTTGAAAAAAAACCTTTTCCTTAAAACAGTGAATAAATAGAAAACATACAGATTGAGAATTAATTAAAGTTTGATAAAGCTATTGTATCATGTCTTTAGAAATGTTATTTACCCCGATTCACATAGGAACAGAACTCTAATTAAAGGATATAAATTTTCAATCAAGGCCATTCAACTTTAACAATGGTCCAAAGAGAGGCATGAAAGGTATGGAATTGCAACAAAGGCAGTAATCAATTGTGAAATAAAATAATTCGAAGTAAAATAAAGAACAAGTTGTGGTGCTGTTGAATGTTATATTACAATTAATGCATTTTTATGTATATGATTTAACATGAAATAAGATGTGTATTTGTTTATACATATTTACAGTTGTACACATGCTATGACAAAACTCAAGGTAAGTAAATACGAATGATGACTAAATAGATTTTGATTCAAAAAATTTCAGTTGGATGGAAGCATTGCAATGAACAATTCAGGCTGTAAATGGTGGGGGCATAGGTTCTATGCACCCAAGTTGAATTGTACATTGTCTGTCAAATCTACATATATATTAATACCGGTAGTTATATTAGGACCAGCAGCATCCTCATCTATTCGGATATCTCTTCTCTTAGGGGGCTTGACAAGGAGGACAACTTCAGACTTAACCAGAATAATAACAATGTGTGCATAGTATTTTAGGGCCTCAATGGTTCACTAGTTGATGTAGATAGGATTCCCCGAATTTTTATTTTAATTAAGTACATGTAGATATCTATTATC